AAATCATCTAGTGTTATAATCTTGGGATGAATTACTGCATAGCCATGAAAGTAAAATAACCACATAGAGGGAAAATAAACACTGAAAAAAAGAAATGTCAAATGGTATTTCTGATTCACTGGTTTAAACACAGCAACATACAAATAACCAGCCTCCAATATGAAACTCAGATTTCAAGTCTGAGAAAAAAGCAAGCAATAAGGAAGGTGACCTCATCTTGGTTTTGAACCTGATTTAAACTGAATCAAACAATCAAGGCAAAATTGGGAGAGATTAATGTTAGAAACAAAAACTTCCTTACATTTTATTTATCTGTATTATTAAATCAGACCATCAATTGTACTCACATATAGCAGAATTATAACTATAACTTTGCCCACAAATTTCTATATTATTTGAAATTAATGAAAATGATATTAAAATACCTTATTATAAAAAATTGTATTTTTTAAAAAAGTAAAATAACATAGTAGTAATCTTGTGACAAGATAGAGGAAGGGATAGCCTTATGGAGTTTTATCTGTACTCTCCATTCCTTCTCAAAATAATGCCAGTCCCAACTGTCCAGATGGATTTTCTGCATCATTTCACAACCATGTTTTTCCTAGAAACAGTCAGCAAAAACACATACCCCCTGATGCTTATCTCAAGTTTTTACCTGAAGCAAATTTTTAGAGCCAATTTTGAAATTCCTAAAATCAAATGGAAAACCTAATCTAATTCAAGTATTTTGTAAGGGTCAATTTTAGGACATAATTTACAGTTACCGAGCCTTAAGTCTTTAGTCATAACAGTTTACCCACATGCTAAAATATTATTTCTATTTAAAAGTCTTATCATTAATTCCCTTTTCCAGGAAGACTTCTGAGTTTAAGAAAATACCAGATGACTTATTATCTGATACATAAATGTTAATAGAGTTTTAAGATATAGTCCTCAGTGGGTCCAAGATTTATTTCATCTTCTAGTCTCAAACATTGATCCTGATAAAAGTGATGAAGGGAAGTGGGTCATACAACACAGCAATAATCTACTGTATCTAGCAAAAAATAGCTTTGGAATGTCTGGCCAGACCTTCTCTGGCTAGGCTGTTTTGGGTATATGTATACTTGGCCAACTGATCAAACAAAGGTACCACATTACCAAAATAATTCAGTAAGAGAGTACAAAAATATATCTTAATAGAAAATAATATGCTGACAAGGATTTCAAACACAACCCACGTATTTTTTAAACATTATTTAATCTGATTAACTGTATCTGCAGGTCTGTTCCTCTTCAAGTCACAGGAAAGTAACTTAACTCATAAGCTGTGTCACTGTATAGAGCCACTGAGAGATCAGGGATCTGTGTGAGTTCACATTCTAAATCTTTTGAATCATGATCCCTATTATTTTCCCATGATATATACTTCTGATGTGTTTGTGCATAATATATGAGAAAACTCCCCACAAGATTTATAAAAGCACCAAAATCTATTCAACACATATTATTCATGTGAACATTTTGTAAATCCTGAAAGGGTTTTCCAAAATGCTCATCTGGTTGAAATGCAAAGCCTCGTCTTGAATAACTATATGCTTTTCAGTGAACACTTGGAAGCTGCCTTTGGAATCATCCATAGAAACAATAAGGTAAATATGCCAACTGGAACTAATTGATTAAATTCACTAGTTAACATTGCTTTCAAAATGTATAATCTCTGGGAACTGAATATTACTCATCCTTTTCTAAGATTTGCTTTTCTTCAGTCAGGACAGAATTGCCCTGAAATGTCAACTAAGAACACAGAAGTGGAAATGAGGGAGAAAAAAAAAATACATGTATTTTGCTTTAGGTTATTGGACCTATTATTACTTTTTCTTTCTTAGAAATAACTCATTTGATGCTTCTTTTGAGAAGCAAAGAAATATGGATGTCAAAGGCTCCTTTAAATCATCTCCTAGATAATTATATGGCTGTGGGCAATACTGATGAAGCTTTCCTCAGAACAGAGCACCAACTCTGAGCTGTGAAATATGAAAAAGCATTCAACATTAGCCAACAATACATCTTCTATCTCCTTTCTAAGTATATAGAGCTAGAATTTTATACTGCAAGTTAATGGCAGGCAAGAAACAAACATATTTAAAGCACACCCTATGAAAAGAAAGTTTTACAATCCTATCACCACGTGTGTAAAAGAGTTCTGTATAACAAAGCTATTTCCATGTCCCCAGGGGGTGACCCAGAAAAAAAAAAAGAGTGCTTTGACCTGGTTATAACAATTTTCTCTTTCTTGGTAACCTACCCTGATCTTTAACAAATTATCATTCTCACAGGGTTTCCTCATATCAAATCTCAGTCCTCTCTGTTAGCAGTTCAAGTTCTTTTCCTTTTAATTAGAAGCCATGTGTTGGAGATAGTTCAAGGGGAAAAAAAAACAACTGGTATTCAAATAAATAATATGAAAATAGTTTTATTATGAAGTTTGTGAAAAATAGCTGTTATAAAAACTTTAAAATGAAAACTTCTCTTACTTTTTGGCAGAACTGGAATTTGAACTCAGGATCTACTACTTACTAGCAGGTGCTCTACCACTTGAGCCATGATCCATAGTCCATTTTTGCCTTATTTTTCAGACAGAGACTTGCTTTATGAAGAAGTAGAAGAATGGACCTTGTAAGCTAAAGATAACAGGGATTACAACTGTCTGTTACCACACCCAACAAAATTTATATTTAAGGTGCAGTGGTACTGGGGTTTGAACTCAGGGCCTTGCACTATTGCTTGGCCTTATTCCCCTCACAGCTGGTGCTTTTACTACTTGAGCCATACCTCCACTTTCAGGTTTTTGCTGGTTCACTCGAGATGAGAGTCTGCAGATCTGAGAAACTCAATTCCCAGATCTTAGCTTCCTGAATAACTAAGAATCATAAGCACAAAATACCAGTGTTAGCTTCAGTCTTTATATTAAAACAGAGCAGAAGCAGCGATATGGCTCAAGTGGTAGAATGCTAGCCTTTATCAAAAAAGCTCAGGGATAACACCCAAAGACTAGCACAAAATAAATGGAAACACAGCATTCATTATATGGAGTTTCTGGTTAATAAGAACATACTTAATATTTAGATCTGAGGTACTATAATGTCATTGAAGTTATATTTCTACAGTCGTAGAATAGCTCAATTCAATTATCACCAATTTGAAAATTTTTCAAAGCAAACTGACATTATCTAAATTTTAAGTTATTTATCTGAATCATTAATTGGGTCCAACTCTCACACTTTGTGCTTCTTCAGAACTCCAGTGTGATCTAATCAATTACCTACAAGGTCCCCAGAAGATTCCTTATAAAATGTGTAAAACCAAGCACTTGAAGCTCAACAGAAATCCAACAGTGCTAAGAATTTCTTTGATTATGTTATTTCTATATCTAACAATGCTTAAAAATTTCCTTCAGTGGAGGGGCAGGGGGAATGGCTAAAGCCTAAAGCACCTGCTTTGCAAATAGGAGAGTTTAAACCCCAGTGCCACAAAAACAAACTAGCTTCTTCATGCAATTCTATACTCATTTTAAATATTCTTTCCTGTTTCTTTCTATTTCTGGTCTACCCTATTATTTAAAAAATACCTTTAAAGAAGGAATTTCTGATTGTTGATTGTGCAGCTGACTTTTAATTAATTTGAAGGATTTTTTTAAGTACACAAGCTGTGGAGTGACAAAATTGCAGAATGACATTGAAAATATATGCCCTACACTCCCTCAGGTATGACTTTGTGTAAACTGTTCTTAAGCAAACTGGCAAATCTGGCATCCCACATAGTAAAGACCAGTAGAGATGTACAAAAGCATCATCTTACTACGACATACTCAAGTATACCAGCTTCAATTATCTATGTGAACTCAGGTTTTAAAGGATATATCTCTGGACAGAGTTTTTTTATTAAATGAATCCACCTCTACTTTTCTTTTTTGTCACAAGTACAGTTTACTAAAGAGAATCTAAACAGAAGATCCAATATCTAAGCCATATTCAAAAGACAATGCAGATTCTTTAAAAAGGTACATACACAAGGTTGTTAATACTGCCTTTATTCCATAATGATGTATTTCTCAAATCAAAATTTCATACCCTTAATAGCAGGTGCCTGAAAATCATTTGAAGAGATGTGATGGTGCCAGTATAGGGTAAAGGGGATTTAATAGTCAACCTCAGAAATAGTAAGCTTTTATCAACACATCCCAGTCAATGCTGAACCTGATATGCTATTGGAGAAAGTGAGTGCTCTTCCCACGGGCTGTAACTGATTATTGACTCCCCCCATTAACATGTACAGTGCATATTGAAGGTCCAGATAGAAGGGCTGAGGGACTCCTATCCCAAGGCCGTGCTGAAAGACAGCCTATCACTTCATGTAAGCATAGTCCATGTGTGACAAATCTGACCTACATTTCTCTCTTTCTTTCTCACAACAGCTTGTCACTGTTTTAAGAAGCTATTTTCAAAAAAAAAAAAAACAACTACTTAAGCAATGTGCATTCCTAATGTATCATTTATAGCAATTTCAGGGAGTAGTTTATCCTACAGAAAATCATGAAATGTAGCCTAAAATGAACTCAAATACAGCAGAGTGCTTTATGATGCTATTCTGCCTGATACCTTTCTTTAGACTGCCATTTATACAATACAGTCTCAAAAGTACTGTATTAAAATTGTAATATAACTAATAGAGAATACATAAAACATATTAACAATGTGCAATAAAAATTTTTAGCATATGTTATAGGAAGCAGTTTTCACTTTATAAGAAGCTGTATCCTAGAACTTCTGTTAACTTCTCAATGGATACACAATTATCACTATTAAGAAAAAAGGCATAATTAAAAGCAATGATGGAGTAGAGGGGTAAAGGTGGCAATAAGTTGGTGCAAATGCTGGAAAATGCTCCCCGGGAGTGGCTGCAGACTGTGTTTCAGAGTTGCTCTTGAGCTGTGGTTCCTCACCACAAGTACCTACCATGCCGCTGCAGGTCATACTCTTTTTTTGTCTCTTCATTCCCTAGAATTTTCCATGCCTGATCAATTTCGATGAACTTCTGTATATATTCCTCCAACATTCCTGCTGGCACATCTGTACTTTGTTTATCTGGATGATACTGCCAATCAAAAACAAGGGAGGTGGTGATGGTAAATAGGGCTGGTGATTGGGAATAGGTTAAAAAAATTGGAAAACTGGGCTTAACTGAAAAAAGAAGGTAATGAGAAGATGAAAACTAAGATGCCAAGCCAATGAGACAATAGTGCTGGGCACAGGAGACAACTGCCAGGTTAATTAGACGGCTGGAGTAGCTATAAATCCACCAGTGACACGATCTGTGACACGATCTGTCACAACGCACAAAGACAGAATTTTCTGGATAATTTGCTCATGGAATCATTGGTCTCATGGACAATTTGCCTAGAGAGGATGACTAACAGAAATAGAAATAGGTACATGCAGAGGAACAGGACATGAAAGAAGAAAAGCACAGACTATACAGAGTAAGCATTCCTTACAATGTACTTGGATGTAGATTCCACTACAAAATGGACTACTAAGTTTTTCTTGTGAAACTATATACAATCATAGTTCAAAATAAAATGTATTAATTATTTTTAAAAAATGGAGTGAGCCATGTGCTGCTGGCTCAAACCTGTATTCCTAACTACTGAGAAGGCTGAAGACCACAGTTCAAAGCCAGCCCAAGCAGGAAAGTCTGTGAGCCTCTTATCTCCAAGCAAAAAGAGCAAGAAGTGGAGGAGTGGCTCAAGTGGGAGGGCACTAGCCTTGAGCAACAAAGCTCAGGGACAGAATCCAGTCCCTGAGTTCAAGCCCCAGGAATGGCACCAAAAAAGCAAAAATGTATTTCATATTCCTCAGCTTTGACTTTAAGTTTACAAATTTCCAAATTTTTATTGAAAATTGGTTATTCTAGGTTAAATTTGTAAGAAACTCAATAAAACGTTTCAATATAAATTCATTAGAGTCCTGAGTTTTTGAAAAAAAATTAAAAATGTTTTGAGTATACAGTAATTCATACTGTTTAGTCAAACCAGAAAGCTTTACATGAACTCATTCTCAGTATTAATATAATGGGATTCACTAAATACCTTCTTTTTCTCTGATTCTCCCTTTTTAAATTAATTATTTTGAAAGAATCAATATGACATTTGTTTTTCAGCAATCTCTCAAGCAAATGAGAAAAGGTTATCCAAATTTAGAGACAGTTTACTTAAAATAATCTAAGTGTAACAGTGTGTAAAGATGATTTGGGTAGTAAGCTTGCTGTGATTCACTATTATTCCACATACCTTACTCAAATATGCCATTAGTACGTAGTTAAGATTCAGTTATGTGTGGAAACTCTTAATGTCAATATGTCACAAGCATTAAGTAAAGCTTTAGAGAAATTATGCTAAGCTTTCAGCTGAAGAGAAGAAGGAATATAGATTTAAAACTAGATAATTTCTAATAGGCCACTACAGAAAATATGCTTGGAAGACCTGATCATGAACCAACTTCACCAAGAATTCCCTATACAGAAAATAGGTCCCAACTGTCCCAAACTATAACCCATCACTAATTTATTATGAGTCACATATCAGTTCTATGATCAATTCAATCTCTTTCCCTAATTTGGTATTTACTTGATTACTAGTGAAACAAGTAGCTCACTATCAGAGGCTTTAAGTCTATTTTGGTATGGTACAAGAATTCAGTATTCTATGGCATCGACTTAATGGACATATTATTTGAAGAAATGCCAATTATAACAAGAAAATAAGTATGTCATCTGGGTGCTAAAAGCCTTAGAACAATCTGTTTTGACAGCAAGTTTCAGAAAAAAATGAAGGTCTAAAAAGACATATTATCACCTATGTTAGGTTGATAATGGTCCACAATAACATTGGTAACAAGTCCAAATCCTTGATTCCTCACTTTATTTGGAAAAAAGAAACCTGTAAGATGTAATTAAGTTAAATTTTTTGAAATGGAAAAATTATTCACCATTATCCAATGGGGTCCAAAATGCAATCACATTCCTTTTGAGAAAGAGGCAGAATATTTAATATGTACAGGACAAGGTGATGTGACTGTCTTGAAGACTATAGTGATATAATCACAGACAAAGGAATGCCTGCTGCCAGAACCTGACAAACACTAAGGTTGGTTTTTTTGTTTTGTTTTGTTTTTTCTACAAAGGAAGTATAGCCTTGCTTATACCGTGTTCTCAGTCCAGTTAGGGACTTTTTTTGACTTCTATAGAGCTTTAAAAAAAAAGTTTGTTATTTTAAGCTACCAGCAATGTGACTGTTTGCTTCTATAGCCATGAAAAAACAAGAGTCCAGATGTCTATGGTATACAGATGTAATACACAGAAAATGTTTAAGAAGTTTCAACTATGAAGTGTAATTTTGTTGTTGTTTTGGTAGTCCTGGGTTTGACTAGCCCTTTAATTTTCAAACAGGGGTCATGTTTTTTGCCTAGAATCAGTCTCAGACTGTAATCCTTCCACCTCTGCCTCCTGGTAGAGGAGTACAAATGTACACCACAATGCCCAGCACTCAATTACAAACTCTGACAAAACAGGGCCTTGTACTCCTCCCACAGCTGTTGCTGAATCATTCCTCCAGTCTAGCTTTTTTGCTGGTTAACTGGAGATTATAGTCTTCTGAACTTTTTTTTTCCTTGTTTTTTTTTTATTTTTTATTTTATTTTTTCTTCTTCTTGTGAACTTTTCTGCCTGGGCTGACTCTTTATTGTAAATCTCAGCCTCCTGAGTAGCTAGTAGAACAAGAATGAGACATTTATGCCCCATTTGTATACATTGTTAACTTAGAATTTTAAAATGATTCTTTACTGCCACTGTGAAAAACAGCCCCTAGGACTTTGCAATCCCACAGAGTATTTTTCTTTTTCCACTATGGTTTCTAAATCTCAGATCTAAATCTAAACATCATGGTTTATGTATCTTTTTCTCTCAATAATTCCCACTAGCCAAAACTTTCCACTCCTAAGCACTCAAAACTATCCCGACTTTATAGATTGCCATTCACTTATCAAATGAGACAAATGTAATCTAAAGCATTCTGTACTCCTAAGGCATTAGCATCCCCTTGAGGAACCAGGTATAGAATTAAAAAAAAAAAAAAAGCCAAGGACTTCCTTACAAACAACAGAGGATTCTGAGAGGACAACATTCACTACTCTTTTAATTGGCTTTTCAATTTTCACTTCAGCAAAATGCATTTTGCTGAAATGGAAGAACTTATTCTAGTGGAAGCAATGAACTCAAAACTAACAATAATCTATAATAATGATGAAAAAGCACAAAGTGCTGGTGGCTCATACCTGTATTTCTAACTACTCAGGAGTCTGAGATCTGAGGATTGTGGTTCAAAGCCAATGCAGACAGGAAAAATCCATGAGACTCTTATCTCCAATTAACTACCAGAACACCATTAGCCTTGAGCAAAACAACTCAGGGACAATGCTCATGCCTGGAATTCAAACCCCATGACCCAACAACAACAATGAAGAAAAGAAGGAAAGAAGGAAGGAAGGAAGGAAGGAAAGAAAGAAAGAAATAGAAAGAAAGAAAGAAAGAAAGAAAGAAAGAAAGAAAGAAAGAAAGAAAGAAAGAAAGAAAGAAAGAAAGGGAAAGAAAAGAAAGAAAGGGAAAGAAAAGAAAGGGAAAGAAAAGAAAGAAAGGAAAGAAAGGGAAAGAAAAGAAAGAAAGAAAGAAAGAAAGAAAGGAAAGAAAGGGAAAGAAAAGAAAGAAAGAAAGGAAGGAAGGAAGGAAGGGAAAGGAAGGAAGGAAGGAAGGGAGGAAAAAAGGAAGGAAGGAAGGGAGGGAAAGAAAGAAAGAAGCAAAGAAAGAAAAGGAAGGTAGATGTTGGAAGAAGCACTTTACTATAAAACAAAGGATGTATAAATCTTCTATACTGAAAACTCTACACTATTAAGAGAAATCAAATGTCTTTTTGTTGTTGTTGTCGGTCATGGGGCTTGAACCCTGGGCCTGAACGCTATCCCTCAGCTCTTCAGCTCAAGGCTAGCGCTCTACCACTTGAGCTACAGTGCCACTTCTGGTTTTCTGGTGGTTTATTGGAGATAAAGAGTTTCACAGCTTTTCCTGCCCTGATTGGCTTTGAACCATGATCCTCAGATCTCAGCCTCCGGAGTAGCTAAAATTACAGGCGTGAGCCACTGGCACCCAGCTAGAAATCAAAATTTTTTTTTATTTTGAACATACTGTACAGAGGGGTTACAATTACATGGGCAAGATAATGAGTACATTTCTTATCAAGCATTGCAGCCTCCTCCTTTGTTTACCTTTCACATCCCTTCCAAGCCTCCCCCCCCCGCCCCGAAATCAAAATATTTTAATGAAAGAAGAAGATTCATATCCAGTTTATCCAGTTTTCAATACTGATAATATTAAGACAATTCCTAACAAAATTTCAACAGTGTTCTTTTAATTAGAAAAGATGATTATAAAATTTATATTTCAAGATAATTAAAAAGACTATATCCAAGACTATAAGTATTGGGATAAAGATATACAAACAGTTCAGTAGAACAGAATGGTCTAGAAATAATATATATATAGTCAACTAACTTTCTACAAAGGTGCCATAACAATGCAATGAAGAAAATATTTATGTTAGTCAGCTGTTACTAGAACAAGTATCTGAGATAAATAAGCTTAGGAAGAAGTCAGGTTTCAAAGTTTTGGAAGTTTCAGTCAATGAAATATGAACTCTTAAAACATTACACTGGGCAATAAAAGCATATTCAAACACTGGACAGTATATGACTGAATACCGAGTTCTGGCAAATCTATTTTTTGGTGACAAAAAGCACAGTTGGTTCCAAATAGGAATACCATCCACAGGGGTGGGAATTAGGGAAGAGTTATCAAGAAATTATTTGGAGGAGTATCTTGCTTGAGATGGTAGTTACATGTTTTTAAAACACAGTAAAGCAAATTATTAATATCTGTGTGTCATTATATGTTGACCATATCTCAATATGAAAATTAAATAATCTCAGCAAAATTTAGGAAAAATTTTCAATTGTAAAAATAACTAATGTTCTCAAATATTTTATTGC